GCCGAGCTGCGGGGCGACAAAATGGGGGTGGTAAACCTCCCAGCTAACTCGGCGGGCGTCGCAACCAAGAGAAAGGTCGCGAGCCAAAACAAAAGACCCCCAGCATTGGCAGATGTCCGCATCCTCGGACTCGGCCCACGCTGCTGTAGGGAGCCTGATCGAGGCAGGGTATTCCTGGCGCCGGCATACCAGGAACTCGTCATCCGAAAGGACGTCGAGGCCGAGGAAGTGTTTAAAGACCTCGTCGGCTCGGTGAGGTGGCGCCGGTCGAGAGGCCAGCTGAAGGCCGAGGACGGCCGATCGTTGGAAGGCGGGAACCTCCGGCCGAAGGGTGGAAAACTAAACCTGCAACCAGAGTTGGAACACCCAGAGGGGTCCATTCTGGTGCGGGTCAATCTTGCCAATAGTCGCCTCGGCCAAGCAACGGTAGAGGTTGGCGAGTATAGCCGGGCTGAGCGCCAAGGAGCGACCATTAGCCAGTGCTTGGGCCACCGGCATGTTCTCAACCAGGCATTTGTTTGACCTGGTACAACAGATGAATTTGTTGTACCAGTAGAAGAGGAAGGCCTCGTGTTCTCCCTTCCTAAGGCCTTCCTCACCTCGGCCGGCGAAGTGAAGGATGAGAGTGTTGTAGTTGAAGAAGTTCTTGTGGAGCTTCTGAACTTCTTCCCTTGAGGGCTCCCGATCGCCCCGGCTTAACGTCTCGACGGCCCTTTCGTCGAATAATGCCTTCAGGTCGAGAGGAGAAGGGCATCCGGAAAGGGCGGCATCAATGGGAAGGCCGGATAGAGAAGTCCCAAGGATGGCCGAAATGTCGAGGACTGTGGGGCCGAGAGGGCCGAAAGGCAGGATCATGGTGTTGGTGGCCGAACACCATAAACTCAGGGCCTCCATAAGCAGCTCCTTATCCATGGCAATCTCCATGGTCGACAGAATAATGGCATCGTAGATACCGAGAGCATTCCACTCCTTGCCAAAGAAGGTGCTCATTCGGTCAACCCAGGCGGCCCAGGCCTTGGTGGTCGAGGGCCAGGCTCCCTGAGGCCGCGCCAAAGTCCACTTCGACCAATCGAACCCCTGCAGCAGGGGTATTAAACACTGCTCCTTAAGCAGATTAGTGATAGACGACAGCACTGCATCTTTGAAAAGGGGACCCAGAATCTGGTGGGTGGTGGCCATGTCATTTTCAAATCGCAGCGTCTTGACGGCGCTCCGATCAATGAAATCCTTGCACTTGTTAACCTCGTCAGAGAGCTTCGAAATAAAGGAGGCCATTGGTAGAGAGTAGAGTGGATGGTTTGGAAGAGGAAGATATTGCGGAAGGAAAAACTGGAAGGTTTTGTTTGAATGAACAGGAATGATAAAATTGAGATTTTGGAATTTCTGAAGGCGTGAGATGCGAATGACAGAAGTATGGGTATTTATAGGCTTTTCAAAATGAAGATCAAACGTCTGGAATTCGAAAAGCACTGGTTCGAATTGGGGGGAAAATTTAACCGGGAAAGGTTCCAATCATTTCGGATATTTTGGGAACCTGCGAAGATAGGATCGAGGGGTCGAAAATCCAGGACGCACGATTGCGTGCGGTGACGATTTTAATGCATTAATTAAGATAAGACGCTTCGGTAAGTACACAATTTCGAGGACCATGATTGAAAGCTTTTAAGAGCGGCGGAGAATCGACACGTGGCTATACGTTGGGGGCAACGAGGAGAGTGCAATTATGTCTCATAAATGTGCAGGAGTAATGGTCATTAATGAAGTAAAGTCCAAAAAAGCAATAGGCGTTTCCGCTTCTTCAAGGCCGAGGCCCGACCAAGAGGTAACAGTCAGCGACCTCAGAAGCGAGGGGGCAATGTTTGGGCCCAAAATGTTATTGTTGGGACGAGCAGCAGGATGTGCTCGGCCCAAGGTAATGACAAATACTATAGGCCAAATAATAAATCCCAGGCCAATTGGCAGGGTCGGCCAAATCCTATCTTAAGTAGTCCGGATAAATAGAAAAGGTCGAGGAAGTCCTGGTGCGACCAGGATTCTCGACCGGCAAGGAATAAAGCCTCGAAAATAAGGAAAATTTAGAATCCCAGTGGGAGTAGGTTTGTTCGAGTTAGAGTCGAAATGGGACAAGGACTCCCAATCCAAATCAGAATGCGAATTGGTCTCAAGGAATGGGGTGCTATAAATACAAGAAATCATGCAACAGAAAGGCCCTTCAAAAATCAGCATACAATTGCCCTGCGCAAAACCTCTCAAACACCTTGAGATTTTTCCTTTTCTTTTTCTGCTGATACATCTTCAGTTTGGATAAACAGCACTGTGGAGGCACCCGGCGAGCATCTTCAGTTTGGATAAACAGCACTGCTACCGCAGAATCAATCGACCGAGGAGCACCTTCAGTTTGGATAAACAGCACTGCGTCGAGGTCAACCGGTTACCTATCTAAGTCTCGACCGAGAAGGGTTTTCGAACCTTTGTTGGTAGAGGTCATCTTACTAGCCTTCTCAGCATAGTCAGGTGTTACGAATTACATTGCTCGGCATACTGGACGCCGAGTGATTTTATGATTGGATACTCGGAAGTAAGTTTCAGGGTTCAGCATTCTGACGGCCGAACTACGTTTACCATCAAGACATACATCACATTTGAGTACCTGTGCCCATATAGTTTGGTCTCGATTCGGCGTGCTTATACTCTTACGAATATAATCACAGTGACCGAATCAGGCTCCGACAATTTGTGAACTCCGTAGAATTAGTAGCCTTGTCTTCAGGCTAGAGAACCCAGAGACCGAGAGTGTTCCTTCCTCGGTCGCAATCGCAAGATAGAGAAGTCAACGACGCGCCCAATGCGACATCAACAAATTTTACTCCTCGACCAAGCTCGGCCGACGAGTTGGCACGCCCCGCATTCAACCGAAAGACGTAGTTAGCTTGCTAATTACTCGGCCTGCGCGCCACGTAGGTTTTGTAATTTTTAGAGTCAACAAATGTATATTCCTATCCCTACCTAGCACGAGGCCTTTTGGGAGCTCACTGGCTTCGGGTTCCGTAAGAACTCCGAAGTTAAGCGAGAAGGAGGCTAGAGCAATCCCATGATGGGTGACCCGTTGGGAAGTTGCTCGTGAGTTCCTAAAAACAAAACCGTGAGGGCGTAGTGGGCCCAAAGCGGACAATATCGTGCTACGGTGATGGAGCGGGCCTGGGAAGTGATCCACCCCAAGCCGGGATGTGACAATTAAGCGAGACAAGCACGGCATCCATGCCCCAGGAAAACCTAAATAATCACAAAACAGAAACACTTAATGCAAGAGATAAAACAAGCCTTTCAATTCCAGAATCATCCATATTACATGCATGCATGAACATACTGGAAGCATTCATTTCAGAAATCACATTCTAAAGCAAACCTCATCGAACATCTAAACATTTGCATTTTTTCTAGGGTTCACATTTAGTTCCTTCTCTAGATTTTTAAGAATGGGCATAGCCTGCTGAAAAGCGAAGATAATAAAAAATAAAAAATAAAAGCAAATGTTCTCAAATGATGATAAAACGACAAACATGTGCAGTGCTGTTACATCTCGTTCCTTAAAATAATGCATTTTATTCCCGAGATATGTGAGTTGACTATTTTGCCCCCTGTATATGTGTCTTAATTTCCAAGCCTTGACAAGAAGACTAGTTCCTTGTAATTATCTTAGGTTTTCCTAACTATATTCACATACGTGAATATAAAGTTGAAAGCGAAATTTGAATCGAAACTCGAGGGCTTAATGGTAATAATAAAATTGAGGAAGCATAAGTTTGTAATTTTACTTAAGTTCGTTGACCTCCGAGAAGGAACCACCACCCCCCACCTCAATTCCGACCAAAACCAACCCCACAAACTTGATTTTATTTCATGATCGGGTCTGTTCATTGTATTATTCTAGACTCGGTTATTGTTTTGGTAGAAAATAGGAAAGGAGATAAAATGACCATTGAAAATTATATTTAAGTTTGTAACCGTTGAATAATTTCGTCACATTACCTATTGTCGAAATATTTTTTCTGTGTAATTTTTGGCGTACACGATGTCATAGTGTATATGAATAATACTGGTGGTCGGATTGTCAAAAATAATTATACAAAGTCCAAGAATGGTGGATATGTGAAATAAGGCCTAAACTTAAAAGACGGAGCTTCCGTCTAGCAAACTTAAAATATGTGCCCGACAAATACCCTAAACCCTAATTTATGCTTGACAAATATCTAATAAATTGCTCAACTAACAGTCCGTTAGTGTAAAATGTAGCGTAATGTTACTTAAGGGACAGAGGTTTGTGGCCTAAGACCATGAAAACTTAAAAATAAAAAATAAAAAATAAAAAAGATAATTGCATATAGTTTATTATAGCAATTGTACAATAATAAACTCTCAATCACTGTCGGTATACACATATGCTTCCTTCGTGTCCCTCTCAATGTCGCTTTCACTGCTTGAGTCATCGCTATTGTCTTCTACCAAGGAACTCCGCTGAGTAGACAATATTTTACAAACAATGAGTTGTTATGGGATGTAGGGGTGCAAGTTGTTGATCTTCACCATGAGGCTTAGAGTTCAACCCCATCGATGGCACTTTTTATAATATTTTTTAATTATATGAGAGAATGAAGTCACTGGCATGCCGGATCATCCCACCGGCTGATCATTGTCACTGAAAAATCCTGTCGTCCGGTTGCCGCCGTAAAATCTCGCTGGCCGGTCGTCTAAAAAGAGAGTAGGATATGGCAATTATGTAAATTGTAATTTTTTCTTATTAAATAATTTGATTGATTCAATTAGTACGTGAACTAAAAACGTGGTATGTGGTATTTTTTTCTTAAATTGTTTTAAGTAATAATATGGCCCGTAATAATATAGATTAGAGGTGGAGTAGACGGGAAGGGAACTCATTCCTTCTAATCCATTTTAGAGAAGATGAATAGATAAGGTTACAAATATACAAATATACAAATAGATAAGAGAACTCATTCCTTGTATTTAAGAAATTGAAATACAAATATACAACAGATTCATTTAGCAATAACACTTTTCAGGTTGTGTACATATAGATATAGATCTACAGCAGCCACCAACAAAATAAGAGGTGCGGCACCTACTTCAGAGACTCATTGCATGCTACATGTTTACAGATGATACAGGTGAGATAATGTATGCCCATCGGAGACGCATAACTTTCAACGACCAAGTCTTGTGTTTTCCCCACCTTTACTTAAGTACTAAGTTTCTTGCAAAGGCAACACGGTACAACCTAACTGCACAAGGATAAGGAAGCAGCAAACCCTAAAACTACATTCAAAATCACTTGGAAGAGATGGTCGATATTTTAGTCAGAAAAAATGCATCCAATGAATCGTATCATCATCTCTCAGTACAGAGTAAGAAATCAAATCACCTTCATACCTATTGAGCTGAGTCGTCAGAGAATCTACTATCAAAAGGAGTTGACGGATGAGAATGTGCTGCACCAGCAGCAGTTCCAGAGCCATGTTGAAGTTCTATAACAAGCCACCGAACTGCTTTACTCATCTGTTCCAACCGAACCGCACTAATGGGTGGCAGACCAGTTGCAGTTTGCCCAGTCTTCCCAGCCACCAAGCCAGTTGCCTCATCCACCAGGCACTCTGATCCAATCCTTTGCTTCACGGACTCCACAAACTCCTCCGCTTGATCACAAGTGACTCTGAAAAGTTCCCACTTCTGCTTAAAATTCTCAAGAGCAGCATCTGTGGCCGCTGTTTTCTGACCACCAGAAGTTTCCTTGGATTCGAGCACATTAGCTGCTGCAACAACGAACTCTTGGTATGCACTATTTAGAGAATCTACAATGCTGTCCATTTTGAGGCTCGTACTTCCTAATGAATATAGTAAAAATGTTAGGAAACTACTGAGGAAGCTAATAATTTGCATAAATGCAGATAACTAAGAGATCTTATGTCCCTTCAAACCTGGGTTTACAAAGCATACATTCAAATAACAAAGTCCATTAGATGCAGAAACTAAATTCAAAGGGGAAACTTTTTACGATATGATGGTAACATACAAAGACTGATCAGCATTCATTAAAGGGACAAGAAAGCAGACGAGTAGGTTTGGAATCGGCTTTAAAGGATAGGGGGAAAGGCACAAATCTCAAAAAATTAAACAGAAAAGATAACAAATAAAAGGAAGATAGTCAACACTGCTTCCTTTTGTGATGTTTGACACACAACAATGTGTTACATGTCTTCCAGTCTTATCGTCAAAACGTAAGACATGCCACACTATTCAGACAACCCAAGGAGGACTCAATAAGGAAAAGATTAAGTTAGTAGCAGCTTTCTTTATGTCTCCAAATCTATTAAATACCTCCAATTTTATGCTCCAAGCTATCAAGCATGGCTAGTACACCATTAACTACATGAAATGAATACATGCTATTGCGCATACAGATCTATGATTGAATAGCAAGAAGAGAGTAATTAGGTCACAGAATCAAAGTCCTACCAATAATAAGAATAACAAGAGCATCTTTGAAAAATAAAGGAACAACGGAAGCCAAAGTTTAAACTAATCACAACTATTTTACATACAGATCAACAATTCATCCTCATGTACATATACTTTGATATATGACATACCGACATGTCAACCAGTTTGTCCAAATATACATACACATCAGCAGAAAACAAAGGTTTTGTACACTACAAGCAAGGTGAATACAGCAACAAGGCATCTCTTTTCCAAACTCTGGATATAAGGGTCAAAAAACTATTTTATAAACACAGCAATTTCCACGCAAATACACTACAGCTCAATACTTCTGACTTCCTTATTTATCCTCCTCTTAGAGGCTCCCTGTTTCCTCCAAACGAAATTCAATCCCTTCTTCAACAAATATACAAAGCCAACTCCAATAGAGAATCTAAGAATAATTTAAAATCAATGTTAATAATTACCAGTAAATTCGAATATGACTGCATATAGAAAATTAGAAAGAGAAACCATCTTTTGGGAAAGCAAGTATGCTATTTTTATATCTCTACGGGGTGGGCTTAAGAATTGAAGACATTGTCAATTTTAATTTTCTGGTAACAACTGCCACCATAACATCATTAACCCTTTTGAAAAATCTCAATATTTTCTTTCAAATGGATAAAATAAAATTAAGCAAAAACAAAGACTTGTTTTTAAAAAACAGAAAAACAATTCACATTCTAGCTAATGATCAAAGACTTCATCAATTAGCTGTATTACTACTGGTATCATACTAATATGCACAAATTCATTAAAATTAGAGACGGGAAAATCAGAGAGCTTTCATTGGCTTTCGTTGGATTAAGCGGATAATAAAATGCATATGATTCACAAGAGCTGGGAAAAAGAAACCCAGATTAGATGAGGAAGAAAGAGTAAATCTCATCCGATCCCGGCACAGAAACAACACAAACTAAATATTTAATTTATTATCTTTCTATCTTTATAATTTGAACAAGAAGTTCATCTTAAATCACAAATCCATGTTACTCCAAACCTGGGTTTACTTTGCATCCATTCAAATAACAAAGTCCATTAAATGCTGAAATTAAATTGAAAAGAAAAACATTCTACGATATGACATGGTAGCATACAAAGACCAATCAGCATTCACAAAATCTCATAAAATTAAGCAGAAAAGAAACCCAATACAAGTAGATTCGTCAACAATGCTTCCTACCAATAGAGTAACAAACAACTTCTTAAAAACAATAAAGGAAGAACACAAGTGAAGGGTAATTAAATTATCATACAATCGCGACACAATATTATTGGGAAAAGTAATCTCGGCACAGAAACAACACAAACTAAACCCTAAACAACGAAATTGAAGAACTGAAATTACCCGGTGCGGAAGATGAAGCCGATTGTTATTGAAGATTCAGATAATCGAAGAAGCAGAAATACTCAGAAGAAACAAAGAAATTCATATGAGATAAAGGATGGCTTGGATTGGATGGGCAGCCGACCTATTGGGCCGAATATGCGACATGCTTAACATTTTTTTTTTTTTTTTCACACACACTTACCAATGGAAGATTTGCCAAATTAAAATAATTAACTTAGCTCCTCATTTCCCTACGTGGTTAATTTACGAAATTTTATGTTGATAATCGAAACGGTTTGTATTACAAAACAAATATGAAATTGTTTAGTAATGGAACTCTATAAAAATAAATAGGCAAATTTGGTAAAAGCATTAAGAAATGTTTGCTACAATTGAAACCTGAATTTTAATTGATTTTTTGTATAGATAATATTTACAAAGAGACTAATAAAATGAACTATTCCAACTGTAAATACGAAATTATGGAAATCAGCTCTTAAGTGAATTAAGGATGAGCTCTTCTTCAATCGTAAGGAGTCAAGCATTGCCAATATAAATAAAACCTAAATGGACTATTAAGTTTTCATCAAAAGGCTGTTTTTTGGCATGAAGAGTCTAGATTGAAATGACTACGGGACGGTATTGGAGTTTGAGATCCTCTTTTCCCACATTGGTCAACAATATTTTTTCACTAGCATTTATATAGGCTTATTCCTTTTTCTTAGTAATTAGAACTTGAACTATTTGAAAATGGATTGAAGGCTTGGGCCTTATGGTTGTGTGGATTAGGCTTAATGATTATACTATAATATTAATATTAATTAATCAAGACAAGGGCCTTGGGCCTTGGGGCCAAGGAATTAAAATTAATCTGATCAATTAGTTTTAATTTCGAATTAAGTTTTTAATTAAATTAATTAAAAATGTGTTTGAAGAGGTATGAAAGAGCCTATATAACTGGAGTCCTCATCTTCCGTACAAACTTTCCAAAGAGTAAACACACAAAGCAATTCGCTAGAGTTCTATAATCCAGTATGGGTTGTAGAATTAGGTAGTTGTATCCTGATCGGGCAGACGTTGTAGAACCACAAGCACACGAGTGGGACGGAAATACTGTTCGAAGGACATAGCGTTTGCGCTAGCCTCTACCTTCAATTCATTCAAGTTAGTATCATATTAATTTTTGTAATTATTGTGTTATTGCATTCTGTATTGCAAGTATTTGTGAATAATAAAGTATAAGTATTTTAGTTTTGTACATCTGTTATTTTATTGTTTCTAAATTGTTCTCCAACAGAAGGTGACTGTAATACAAAGTTCTTTCATCTGACAACTATTATAAGAAGGCAAAGAAATAGAGTTAAGGGGCTAATGAATGATCAAGATGCGTGGGTTGTGGATTTTGCTGAGCTTTAAGGGATTGTTGTGGACCACTTCCAGAATTTGTTTCTACATGCGAAAAATTCTAGTCAAATGTCTGCTCTTCCTAACTCGTTTCCTAGCATGGACATTTTTATGAACGAAAACCTTTGTAGAATAGTTGTGGAAGAAATGAAGAGTAGCATGTTCAACATTGGAAGCCTCAAAGCTCCAAGTGTGGACGGCTTTCTGGTTTGCTTTTACCAAAATAAGTAGGCTCGGAGTTCTAATGATTTTTTTAAATGGTGGTCAATGCTTTTTGGCATATGAAGTTGCCTCAAGGATTGAATAATATATTGATTACTTTAATTCCATAAAATGAGAACTCTAAGAAGATGAATTTTAGGCCTATTAGTCTTTGTTGCACCCTTTATAAAGTTATCTCAAAATTTATTGTGGCTAGTCTTAGACAACTTTTGCCTAATTTAGTTATCCCTAATCACAGTATTGTCCCTAGAAGACATATTATTGACAATATTCTTATGCTCAGGAGATTCTCGACCAATTCAAGAATTCCAAAGACAAAAAAAAAATGTTCTTGGCATGGAAAATCAATCTCTCAAAAGCTTATGATGCTTAATTAAGATTTTATTGAATATGTTTTTGTGGAGATTGGTCTGCTTATGAGTTTGGTTTAACTTATAATTCAGTGTTTTTCTATAGTCCAATATCAAATTTGTTTTAATGCTGAGTTGACTGGAGAGTTTTCTCTTAAAAATGGTATTAGGCCAGGGATATGTTATTGCCTTATCTTTATGTTTTATGTATTGAGAAGTTGTCTCATATTTTATTGATGTTGTTAATAAGTCAAGTTACAAAGCTTACATTCATAGGTTGCATGCATGGTTAAAAATGTCCATAAGAAATGAGCTTCCTAAAAGAGTAAGATTCTGTATGTGGTTGGAAGGGCCACTTTAATTCAAATTGTTACATCTACCATCTCTTTCTATGCTATGTAGACCACTAAATTACCTACAAGTATATGTGAAGATCTTGAGAAATTGAACATGAATGGTGACATTATTTGTGCCAATAGCACATTATTGATGACTTCTGAGAAAAATCAAGTTTTACTAGCAAACACTGGTTGGAGTATTCATGCTTAAGATTAAGGCCTTTGGGTTTGAAGGTGAACTATCTCAAAGGAACTTATGTTTTGGACCCAAAACTCCATGAGAGGTTAATTGTTCTTATACTTGGAAATGAGTTTTTTATGGTACTGATCTTTTGAATAAAGGGATGAACTGAAGAATCGATAATGGAGAGTCTGTGAAATGTTAGAAGAATGCTTGGGTCATGGATATTCCATTGATTGATACTATTGATTATGGTGTTGTTTTAAAATTATAATTGCACAGTTTCTGAATTTTCTCAAGATGGTTGGTGGGAATTGTCAAAGCTTAGAAGTGTGCTATCTAAGTATATGGTGCAGAAAATCATTAGTTGCCCTCATGCTATCTTCGAGTCGTTGGTATTACAGGAGTATTTCCTAAGACAAGCTAACTCTTTCAAGATATCTCAGGACTTGTTACAAACCCGTACCAAGGGAGACAAGAGGATGCTTTCAAAGCCCAAGTTCACCTCGACCTAAATGTCCCCCAACAAATACTAATAATATATTTACTTACAATTTGAAATGTGCTCCAATTCTTATCACATCCCAACGCACTACAAGTAAAGCTAAGAACTTGAATAACAAACTTCATTAACTTGGGTGTTTTAGTCCCAAAACGCTCCGTCCAAGCCGCTCAAAAACAATATTAGTAAGGTAAATAATTTAAAGGTTACTGATAAAAATATATTAACAATTGACTAATTAAATCTTACTTGGAGTTCATCTTTTCCTAGTTTGCATAGCCATAGGATCTGCAAATTCACCAAGCCTTTTATCATATGAATCCAATTGGATATCTACATCTTCATGTTCTTTGCCTTTCCCAAGCATCATATCCATGCAAGCAAACAACCCACTTCACATTTCGCCACTATTTGAGAAATTATTCTCATACCGAAATTATGGACTCAAGTAATAGCCCACCGCATGTAGTGGTTGATAAAGTTGATTGTCTCATCTACGATCTTTCTCAAAATAGGCATAAATTTATTCTCCACTGTGTTAAGATTATTTGAAATTTTCTCTTTTGCGGCATCCATCAACTTATATGTACAACCCATGGAGGGTCTCTCCTCTAAGTCAACCTCTCTCAAGACACAAACAAGATGAAGAACACCCTTAGGCTGTGTTTGGTACACTAGATAGGACATCGGATAGGACTAATAATACGGAAGACGGTGTTTGGTGTCTGTTCGTATTAGATAGTCATCGAAGTAAATAATCTAGGCCCACCTACTTAATACGCTTGTTACCCGACTACTTATACTGTCCAAAACCTTTGTATAATTTAGTTGGAGCGCCTCCCGCTGTCTCTTTCCTCTCCAGACGCACTGTCCAGACACAGTGTCATTTCGCACTCGATCGTGGTCTTCTCTAAACGCTCTCCTCTCGCGCTTGCTCTCTCGGCTGAAGTTCAGGCTCGTCTTCGTCTTCTTCATTTGAATCCCATCAGTTTTCTTCTTCTTCTTCCCAAGTTGCACCTGTTTCTTTGTTCTTCCCTCTTCTTCCATTTTTCTTGCAATTTTCTTTCAATTGATGAATCTAATTATTGTTTTCTCTGTAATTATGCAATTGATTACGTAATTTTGTGTTTTAATTACAAATTTTGAATTTTAGGGTTTGTTGTTGGGGTCGAATTGTAGATTTGCCAGACCATCTCTCTGCCTCTCGCGCTTGCTCTCTCGGCTGAAGTCCAGGTTCATCTTCTTAACATGAAGCTCCCAAGCTATTCAAGCAAGGTTTCTTTGAATTTTCCATCTTTTTATAGTAGATCATATATCAATCTCGGGGTATTTGTAGCTACACCCCTGAATATATTTCTATATTTTTGTGGTTTTCAGTTGGATTTTCTTGAACATTATTGTCATTGTTTGCAAAACATCAAATTTTTTTAACTTGAAACTCCCAAGCTATTCAAGCAAGGTTTCTTCCAATTTTCCAAATCCCATCGTCCATAATCATCATATAAGTTAGTATCTACGTAGTCTCTCATGCCATGTATTGCAAAACATCTAAGATATTCAAACATGACCAAGATTACCAGTTTCCCTGTCTCTTCTATCTTCTTCTTGATATTCTTTAGGATTTTCTTAGCCATGGCACAAAATTCAATGATCCCAGTGAATGTGGGGATCATCCTTGACTTTGATTCCTTATTTGGGAAGGTGGGGATGAGCTGCATTGACATGGCCCTCTCTGACTTCTATGCTTCTCATACAATTGTTTGAGTTGAATAAAAGCAAAGAAAAATAGAAATAACTCTACCTTGGTCCCATACACTTGCATTTGGCTAAATGGGTTTTCGTTTCTTATGACTATGTTGTACTTTCTTTTGCTTATTTTCTGAGCAACCAAACAGAGCATTTTGGTTTTGTGGCTGACCCAATTTCCTAGATTTTCTATCATCTGGAAATTTCATTGATAGCATCTCTTAGTATCATATGGAATCTCAGCTTAATTTGATTTGGGCTAAATGGCTGACAGATCAAGTTATGATATTTCACTAGTTCTACTAAACATAGACAGTTAGATTGCTAAATTTTGTTTTCCCCACTTTAATTAAGCTTTTATTTTGATACAAAAAACCGGTTGGGTTTTTATTCCACCCTGCCCCAGAAAAAAAAAGGTAGAGTTATGACCAAGTGATAATTTAGATGG